CTCTGAAATGCATAACCTTAACTCCAACTACAACTACATTAAGATATATTCCCTAGCGGTAAACACATAATGGTTAAGTCTATGGGTAATATGTTGGCCCCATTGAAGTAAATGCCAAAACTCCCATTGACTTTAACATGGCCAGCATTTCACCTTATACTGTGATATTTGTACATGAATAATTTTGAGGTCAGAGTTAAGGTCAGGCATGAGTATTTAGGATGTTTGCATGGTTATTGATGTGAGCTGAGGTTGGTCTGGATTTTATTGTGGCCTTAACTGGTGATTTTGTCATTTTTTAGTGATTATGCTTATAAGGAAATTCACTAGAGTAATCTTAAATCTAAGATAAACAGGATTTTTTGTGTGAATTTCCCTGTTTTTCCCCACTTTTAAAACATTTTCAGTACTGATCAAGAGCAGTGTTTAGATGTGGAATGAGGGAGGGGGATTGGGAAATTGATTAGATGAGCTGGTATGGACAGTAGGGCTTGAAAAGTAGGCTTGGAAAACAGATTACTCAATTTAGAACCATTTTTTTTTTTGGCCCACTGTGCACCTTTCTTTATACCAGTTCTCCAGCTCCACAGCTCAGGCTGGCTCCTTTGTTCTATGCCCTCCCCTCTCCTCAATATTCTCTGTATTCCACTGTTTTTTCTTTTCTTCTTAATTTATATTTTACTGAAGATTAATCAAAATTAGCAAAAAAATAAAACATTTCATTGGGGTGTGGATTAGGGACTGGGGGAGGGGCATGGAACTAGGGAACCATACAATTTAAACAATAACTTCATGACCTAAATTGTGCCTCATCCTCCCATGCTGTATAATAAAAAGTAAGTGTGAAGTCCTGGGGTCTACACACCCTCAACTGATGTACTCCATGTGTTGCTTGCAAGCTGAGAATGGACTGATAGACACAGATGCTAGAAGTACTGCATAGGAGAAGAGCACTATGGAGCTTCTAAATTCTATAATTTAGCTTTAGGAAAAGTAAGGACTGGATTCCTCGGAGGGAATATGGATCAGAACACAAAACTTATTTTTTGTGGTTTCCTCTGGAGAGAGGAGTAGCTGCATAGAGGAAAGGGAGGATAGTGACAGTTTAGTGGAATGTTTGGTAAAGTCCAATTTTGTAGGAGTCAAACTCACTCAGAAAATGTTTCCTTTACCCTAGCATGCTGGCAGGGAAAGATTTACACACTAGAGTTTTGAAGCAGAACATTTTCCACACAAGAATGCTCATATTTAAAATGTTTAGCATCAGCACTGCCATGGAAATTTTTCAGCATCAATATTCAGGCACAGAAAATTTTCAGTACTGGTTTCTATGTTATGTTGGAGGATATAGTGGAAGTTAGTGACTACAAATGTTTGGGTTTGTATGCTGTCTGATGCACAAGTATATAATATAGCCATCCACAAACAAATTTAAGTGTGTAAACCTTTCTATTTTGAAGTTAGAAGGGGCTGAAAAAATATTGTTCAGAATTGCAGAGGCAAATTTGTAACCAACTGTAATTTCTAAACTACCTAATGAAATTACTCGACGCTTAAGCAAAACAAAATTCTGCTCCATCCCAACAGCAATAATAATAAAAAGATTAAAGTTTTTGTTCTGTTCTTTATTAGAGCAGGGGTTAAAAAAAAGCATGTAATGGACCCTGGTTGAAATTGTAACTATGATAGAGCACAGTGTCTCTTAATCTTTCCAGGTTCACAACCCCTTATTCAAAGTCAAAATTTTTCGTGCCTTGCCTTACATTTAGTATAAATTAAAAGTAAAACAAAAGTATCAGTGCTAACAACGATAAGCCTACATAAAGTATTTGTGTGTGTGTTTCGAGAAGTCAGCAAATAATATCTGACCTTGAAGGGTAAGAGTGGGCAGGGAGTTGGGGAGGGACTTTTTCTTTGCTTTAGATTGTAATAAATTTGTCAACACCTCGTGACCACCTGGATTGCCTTTTGTAACCTCCCTTGGGGTCAACAATCCACCAGTTGAGAAACACTCATCTAGCGAGCCACCTCTTATAAGCCAAATTCTGCTTTCAGTTACATCAAAGTAAAACTTGATTTCAGTGGTGTTACTCCACATTTACATTGGTGTAAACTGAGCAGAATGTGCCCCCCCAAAGTCATAATTTGAGTGGCCTGGATGTGAGACCTGCAATGCTTGTGATACCTCTAGTGAACCAGGTAACAGTCTTACAGGAGACGTACCGCTGGTTATATTATTATTGATGATCCGCGACCAGACAGCTAAAGGCTCCGTCTCTAGCAAGGGCAGTTGAGAAGGAACTGAGGATGGTTAGCTTGCGCGCGCTGGCTAACCTCGTGGCACAGCACGAGGAGAGACAGCACATGTGCGGGGCCAATGGAGATTGCTACCGAAGTTCTCTGATCAGCAGCCCAGGGATGCAGACACACCTACAGTGGAGCACCCATAGGGACACTACTGAAAGAAGAAAACATCCTAGGGAAACTGTCACATAGGAATGTCTCACCAGAAAGAAAATGTCTCATCTCATCAGCTAATCAGATTCCCAAAACAAGATAATTGTGCTTTACAAATAATAAATATGCCTAAATAATAACAACAAAGCAAGGTAAAATAAATTTTTAAAAATGCATAAGGATTAAGAAAACACTCCTAACAAAATAAATGAATAGCTCCTCACATCACTATTAAAGTCAGAACACTGATTTGCTAGTCAGGAGGAAATGGTTTATAATAATAAGGCTATCTTAGGGCACTATAAAATATCCACAATTTAGACTTAAAAACAGTAAACTGAATAAATGTGCCAACATTATGAATTGGCACAGCCATGGAGGTTAGGTAACACAGAGGATTTTGACTACTGGGGTCTCTTTTAGGACTTGTCTGTGCAGGGAAGCTTATTGGAAGAACTACTGAGATTGTAAGTAGGGCAGGGACTATCTTTTTGTCTTGTGTTTGTACAGCACCTTGCATAATGGGGACCGGATCCATGACTAGCTCCTAGGTCTATGGTAATCCAAATAATAATAAGCCAGTATAACCCTTTGTGGACACCGTTGGGATCTAGGGTCCCTTTTTTCAGTTCAACTTACATTTGTTTGGAAGTAGCTCAAATTAAACTTAAAAAAAAAGCAGTCTGAATCCTGAAAAAGTGTCCACGTGGGGATTTCACCACATAGATCTGCCAGTAAATTTCCCTGTGTAGACAAGCCCTTGGTACAAGGCCAAAGTGAAGTTGAGGGACTAGGCAGCATACTCCTTGATGGATATGTCTTTTGGGTGATTGGAAATGTCTGGGCAGGAATGAATAGGAGGATCTGTGTGTAAAAACTTGTAGAACACCTGCCCATATTATACATGTACCATTTGCCACTGACTGCAGGCCTTGTATAGACTAGGAAAAAACATCAAGGTAGTTTAACTCAATTGAAAACTGCACTGTAGACAGTTTAAGATCTTGTCCATGTTGAGTTATCACCTACGTCTTGCCTATGTCATAACTTAACCTGCTAAAATCCCATGAACCTACGCAACCCCCTTTGCTGTCCACCACCTCCGACAGAAGCATGAAACCTGCCCAGCTCTGCACTATTGCCATGAGCGTTGCAAGCACAGGATACATGATCATCCAGTATTTGCAGAGCCGCAAAAAGAACCAAATCAGTAGGGAACATGACAGTTTCATGTAGGACAGATTGCAGAGGGACATAAAAAACAATTGAAGGCTGTTGGGGGCATTCACGGAGCAACTGCAGCTGGTGGAATACCACTTCTGGGCCCCAGAAATGAACACTGACTAGTGGGATGCAGATTGGGACTACAAGCAGTGGCTACAGATCTTTTGGACGTGAAAGGGCACATTCCTTGTCTGTGGATCGAGTTCAACCAAGCCAGCACAGGGACACCAGAATGCTGCACTGAAAGTAGAGAAACAAGTGGCCATTGCACTGTGGAAACTTGCAAAGCTGGATTGCTACCAGACTGTGGGAAATCATTTTGGAATTGACAGTAGGAGCCATTGTCATTCAAGCATGTAGGGCTAATAATTGTCTCTTTCTATGCAAGGCAGTGATACTCAGCAATGTGCAGAACATAGTGGATGGATTACCAGCAATGGGGTTCCCTAACTGTGGTGGAGTAATAGATGGTAATGCATATCTGTATTTTGGCACCAGAGTACTTCAACAGGAAGGGCTACTCTACAGTTATGAAAGCGTTGGTGGATCACTGGGAATGCTTCACCAACATCAATGGTGGCTGGTCAGGAAAGGTACATGATGCATACATCTTTAAGAACACAGAACTGTTCAGAAAGCTGAAAGCAGGGACTTTCCCAACCCCCACTTACCATTGGCAATAATGCCAACAATGATCTAAGGGAACCCAGCCTGCCCTTTGCTACCCTGGTTCATGAAGCCATACCCTGGTCACCTTGACAGCACCAGGAATGAGTCAACTTCTGGCTTGGCAGGTGCAGAATGACAGCTGAATGTGATTTTGGTAGATTGAAAGTTGTTTACTCACATGACTGGACGCTATGAGAAAAATATCCCAACTGTTATAACTGCCTCCCACGTTCTGCATAATCTGTGAGGCAAAAGTTACCATGGTGGCAGAAGTAGAGTGGCTGTCTGCTGAGCGTGAGTAGCCCAACACAAGAGCCATTAGAAGAGTTCAATGCATTTATGCTGCTGAGGGAGGCCTTGAGAAAGCACTTTATCAGGGAGCTACAGTAATGTGCCGTGGTGAACTGTGCTGTACCTGGCCGTGCAGTTTTGGGACCTGTTTGGAATTGTGTGATGCTTGGTGTACATCTGTGAATATACTACTATCAATACACCTATTGATTTTGTGGTGTTTGCTTTACATTATTACTACACTGCATTTGTCACTACTCCTATGATTTGTGTCACACTGTACAGTAACAAGTAAGTGAATGCTTTCAGTACTGCTAGGCATTCTGCAGCACATAGTGGGAATTAATAAAGATGAATTATTTCCCCTAAATTATAGTTTTATTTAACAAGACTAGTGGGGGGAAAAAATCAGTTAAATTTAAGAGCAAATACGTTAAGTTCTGTTCCATGAATGTATTATGTTAACAAGGGGGAAAACATATATATCTATTTTGGCAACACATACAGCAACTGTGACTCTCAAGGAAAGGGTATGTGAAGCAGTGATTGTCCTTACTGTCCCCTGGTGTGGAGTGGTAGGAGCGGGGATGTGGCCCCAATGCCACATGGAATGTTATGGGAAGAGAGTGTAGGGAAGTGCTAAAACTAAGTTCTCCAGGAACTACAAAGAGAGGTGATGGCATGATTTGTTGACCTACAGGTTCAACAGAGTCTGCAGCATCTGTAATAGCTGCCAGAGAAGCCCCATTATGTCCTCATGCGTCTCCCTCTCCTTTTCGTGCTGGGACTCTGTCCTGTCATTCACACTCTAGGCCCTCTGCTCAAGGTACAATGCAGCACTGGCTTGCAGGATCTTGCTGAACACATCATCCCAAGTCCTCTTCTTTCTCTGGCTCAGATGTTGCGTGGGTATGGAGGGGGAACCCCTTAAACCCACAATGGTGGCAAGCTACAGAAAAACACAGAGATAAAATCATCAGTATGGTCACAACAGGAAGTGAAAGTTAAGGGTCAGAATTCCCTTCCCTTGCTCCCCTTAAGTTTTAAACAAGACATGTTTATTGACACTTGTGGTTTGGCATGCTTGTGCATGGCACCACTCACAGCACCATCCATGGTAAATATGGCCTGCCACAGGCAAGGGAAATGAGGAGGGAATTGCTCAATTGCACGAAACTATGAGTATATGGCAACAGTACTGAATATTGGCACCACTGTCCACAGCCGGTGGTGATTTTAGCTGGTATCTCACTCCTAAGGCAGACAGCGCACAAGCTGCTACTGCCATCCCAGAGCCACCCTTGCCCATATGCTGCTAGCCTGTTTACTGCAAAGGTGCCTGTCAAAGTTATTGCCAAATTGCATGCAAAAGCGTCTTATTGCAGAGGAAGAAATAGAGCTGCCATCCCTAGAAGCCTTCGGGAGAGAATTGCAGAGTACCTTCATGAAAGTTTTATCAAGATCTCTCAGGAGGATTCAAGGACCATCCCTGTGTACTTAAAAAAACTACTCTGCATAGTCCCCACTTAACTACAGGGGAATGAAAAGCAGATAACTCTCTTCAAGATAGTGTGATGCTGTGACTAGGTAATGGGATCCTTAGATGCATAAACGGGAATATCAAGCAAGAGTAGAGAAGTTATATTACCCCTGTATTTGACACTGAGGAGACCACTTCTAGAATACCATGTTGAGTTTTGGTGTACCGCTACCTCTTCTTGTACACATAAATTAATGAAAAGAGGATAGCTACGTCCTGCTAAGTTGCGAGTGCCATCAGTACGTCACTGTAATGGGGGACACATGTATATGCTTGAGCCAAGGTTTCTTCCCCTGCATCAGGCTCATCCTTTCTCAACTGCCAGGACTGACTGGACTGCAGTGAAGTCTCAAACAGGTCGTGGATTGCAACACACCTGAACCCCCAGAGGCATGTTTCCTCATCTTCCTCACCCTTGCTCTTCACAGCAGGGCTCTGTCTCTCGAATGCCACAGAGGTATTCATGGAGATCTGTAGGGTGGCAGTGGGCATGTATGGCATGCATCTCTTTTTAAAAGCGGCAGGTCTGCAGCTTAGCACTGGATCGACTGTTGGCCTCCCTGGCCTTTTGGTATGCCTGCTGTAGTTCCTTTGCTTTCATGCGGCACTGCTATTGATACCCCTTCTACGAGCAGATTATACAGGGAATGCAGGAAATGTCCACATTTCTATGGCTGGTCCACAGCTGTGCCTTCACAGCCTCTTCTCCCCACAGTCCCAGGAGATCCAATATCTCTTGTTTACTCCAGACCAGAGTGTCTGGTGCAGAGAACCAGCATGGTCAGCTGGGCATTTGCATACAACAATAGTGAGCACAAATAGCAGTTCTCTAAGCTGGGCAATGAAGAAAAGGAATTTCAAAAAATCAGTTTTATAAGGGTGCAATGTAGTCTTCTAGTCTCCTTGATCCCATAGCGGTCAGCGTTGGGCATTGTGGGAAAGCTGCTTGAGAACTGTTAGGGTCAATGTAGGTAACAGTGTCTACACACGGACTGTGTTGACCTCAGTACATCAACCATGGCTCAACACCACTGGGGAAAGTGGTGTTACAGCATCGCCGTAACAAGGCACTTACATTGGTGGGAGACAAATCTATGAGCATGCCTACACTACAAAATTAAGTCAACTTAAGTCGTCATACTGCCATCACAGTAACTAAGTTGATAGTCCATGTCCACACTACGCTCCTTGCATCGGCAGAGTGTGTCCATATTAGCAGCTTATATCAACACATAGAGCAGCGCACTGTGGGTAGCTATCCCATTCTGGATGTCTTGGGAAGGGGTTGCAAAATGCAAAGCACAGGGGAAAAGGGAGAGGATATCATTCTGAGATCATAGCAAGAGGTACATTTGCAGAGGATAGCATGCAACTCCTTGTAAAAGTAGCATATCTGCAGCTCTGCACTAGAATAACTGCTTTGGGCAGCAGAGTTGAAAATGGTGACCAGCACAGTCATAATGGGCATTGTGGGACAGCTCCTGGAGGCCAGTTAAATTAACATAAGCAATGCAGTGTCTGCAATGCCACTATGTTGACCTAGCTACATCAGCGGGAGAAATATGTAGTGTAGACATTGACATTATTATGTCGATGTAAGATGCCTTACGTAGACATAACTCTTTAGGGTGTACCAGGTCTAAGTGTAGACCAGGGATAGACAACCTATCGCATGTGTGCCGAAGGCAGCACACAAGCTGATTTTCAGTGGCACTCACACTGCCCGGGGTCCTGGCCACCGGTCGGGGGGCTCTGCATTTTAATTTAATTTTAAAGGAAGCTTCTTAAACATTTTAAAAACCTTATTTACTTTACATACAATAGTTTAGTTATATATTATAGACTTATAGAAAGAGACCTTCTAAAAACGTTAAAATGTATTACTGGCACGTGAAACCTTAAATTAGTGTGAATAAATGAAGACTCGGCACACCACTTCTGAAAGGTTGCCAACCCCTGGTGTAGACACACACACAACTAGGTTGATGCAAGGCTGCTTACGTCAACTGTACTTTGTAGTGTAAGCCAGGCCTTAGTGACAACAAAACAGACTAAGCTAATATCAAAAGAAAAATGGATCTAGAGTAGGAAGAGGAGAACAGAAAGAAATAAAAGAATATACAAGTTTTAGTACCTAAACTCTGAGGGCCAAATTCACCCCCTGGTATAACATGCTGTTCTGATAAGTATGAACTATAAAAGTTAACAGTTTGTAGAAAGAGCAGATTTAATGTTACTGAATATGGTCTCTAGGCTTTTAACTATGGCTTTCTCTACAGGGAAGAAAACCACAACATAAAAACCAGATGACCACTCTTTTTTGTTGAAACTGGCTCCTTTTATCCTTGTGCAAGAGATGAAAGGGGAAACCTACCAGCCTCTTCAATCACAGACTGCTGTCTTAAACTGGGATAGTTTATATGAGGATGATTACAAAAAAAAAAGTGTGAGACTGCAAATTCATCATTGAAATATGCATTGTAAAAAGCGCCCTACATTCCCAAAGGAAGGGTTTGTAAAAACTGTCTCACTTACCACGGAAGGAGGCTTGCTCCAAATGCGAAGGAACTAGGCGGGTCAAAACTTTCTAGCTATACAAGTTCTAGGCTCCGATTCCACGAGGAAGAAGTTCAGCTGTCACAGGAGAAGAGCTGGGAAAGTGCAGTAAGAAGGAAACACTTCATAAAGCAAAGCCTGAAAGCAGCATGTACAAACATCACCCATATTACCTTTAAGGACTAGCTGATGAGGGGGACTCACTGTATGGAGCCAGACCTATACAATTCAGAAAGCCAGAGAAGCCAGAATTACTGATACAGAGCTCCTGGGCGTTATAACCCCAATCAATTACCTTGGGGAGAGGGAGAGGCGGGAAGAAGGGGCGGGTATCAGACATCTCCACCACCCAACAATAGCCGTTAACCCTTCCTCTTGCCCAAAGCAGGAACTGCACCCTCCTTCTGATCTGTAAACTAACCCGTGCCACAAAACAAAGCTAAGCGCGTCCCGCTTTCAGCTTCATTTAACAATGAAGATAGTGAGAGGGGAGTTGTGATGGTTTGAGGAGGCGTAGAAGTGAAAGTTAAAACATGGTTTTGCTATTTACCACACGTTGTTAGCTGGATCAGCAAAACATAACCCACCTCTGGCCCTGCTGCTGCTGCCAGCTCCCACACACATGCTCTGGGGAGGAGAGCAGGCTGGCTCTCGGAGCTGCTGTTTAAGGCAGTGTTTACAGTCACTCTGGCTCTGGGGGTGGGGATGTCTGCTGCGCGCATTTCAATGAGCGGGTTCCAGTTCTCTGAAGTTTACCCGAGTCGAACTGCCCAAGCTTGACAAACAGCCCTGCAGCTCCTCGCTCTCGAGCGAGCCATTGAGCCTGCTCTTCCTGTATCCCCAATCCTCCCCTCCAGCTATATCCCGACTCACACCAACCCTCAGCCAGTCCCTTCGCCACTCTTCAAATCTCCCCCCTCTCAAGGGAGGGCCAAGCACACCCGCCATTGAAATCCGTCCCCATTGATCCCATGCGCAGTGCGAAACGCTGGGGGAGAAGGGAGCCGGGAAAGCAGCCGCAGCCAGTCAGAGAAAAGCCCTTTTTCTTTAACACTGGGAGGGAGGGAAAGCGAAGGCGAATCAGAGAGAAATATCCCGTCAGGGGGGGAAGGGAACAAGGATCTTAGATTTTCCAGTTTACAAAAGCCAAGCCTGTTACCCGCGCCGCTCACTCTCAACAACGCCTGGGTGGGAAAGAAATCCCCGACCCTTCTAGGGGACGCTTCAACACAGGTGCTAACTGCTGAGTAAATTCGCTCAATAGAGGCCTACAACTCCCAGTGTGCTCTATTCTACCTTGCACCGAGCTGCCGCCTTAGAGACGGAGCAAGGCATGCTGGGAGCAGTAGTCCCCAGGAGCCACTCCGGGCTCCACGCATCCCCGACTGCAGCTCCCTAATGCCAGCCTGTGTTACCCATACGAATGTGATGTGTTGTTCACAACCCCGCTGGCTTTTAACGGCCTGTAGGCTGTAAATAAGAAGTTTCCTAAAAAACCCGCCCGCCCTAGTTCCTTTCCTCAAGCCACAGAGGTCTCTACTTTCAGATTGCCAATCCTGTCCACCACCCGCACCTTTTTCTGGCGCCTCTTGTTTTTCTCACTTCATATCCCTCCCCCTCCCTTTGTATTTTTAAACCACGCTACTCCGTCCCGCTCTGTCCAATCGCAGTTCGGGTATTCCATTACAGCCAATGGCGGACATCCCCGCGGTTTTTTAAACTGCTACTAGCCTCCAATCGGCGCCGGAGCTCTTAGTCCCGCCCCCGTCCTCTCCCTAACCGGTTCCAACGAGTACTGGAGCCAACGAACCCCTGAGACTCGACCTAACTTATGCGCTGCTCATGGGATGACGTAAAGAGAGCTAGGAACCAATCCATTATACTCGCAAGCCTAAGGGCGTGACCGTGTGCGGTTCGAAAGGGTGTGATAGCCAATCGGATGACGCGGTAGGCGGGACCGTAGGTGCTGTGGGTCAAGTTGCTGTGTCGGGTAGGACTGTGGAAAACAAGAGGCTGTAAGTGCGTCGGAGAGAAACCATTTGGCTGTGGCAGACGGAGCAGATCCCAGCACCAGAGCCCAACACCCCGCAGCCGCCGCCTCTCACCGCACCAGGCAAGGCCCCAACAACTGCAGCCTGCCCTGAGGAGTGTCCGCGCCGCTCCGTGCTGGTGACGGTGCCAGTGGGAGTCGGGACGGGACCAGCCGTGGGGTGGGGCGCGGCGGCTCCCGGGCGCAGTGGGTGTTCGGCCCCGCGGCGGGGGCGGTTGTTTTAGTGGGGGCTTCTTGGCTCTGCAGGTCGGCTGGGCAGGACCGCGCCCGCGGAGTGGGGCGCGAGGCGGGGAGGGGGCCCGGTGCCATCGGGAGAGCGCGGGCGCGGTGGCATTTCGGGAGGGGGGTTGGTGACTTCGCCGGGGCCGCTGGTGGGGTGGAGGCGCCTGTTGGTCCCGGGGAGGCCGCCCCGCCCCGTGGAAGTTTACTCCGACTCGGAGGCCGCTTGGCTCCTCGGGAGAGGGAGGGGCCGGGCCCGGGCCCGGGGGATGGTTAGGCGGGAAGCCGCCGCTAGGGGATAGGCGGGAGTGGCCTCAGCCGCAGCCCCGCCCGGCAAGCGCTGCCGTCCCTTTCCTCACTCCGCGTCTCCTCCCCAAGGGCCCAGTGACCGCTCCCGCCATGGGCAAAGGCGACCCCAACAAGCCGCGGGGCAAGATGTCCTCGTACGCGTACTTCGTGCAGACCTGCCGCGAGGAGCACAAGAAGAAGCACCCGGACTCCTCGGTCAACTTCGCCGAGTTTTCCCGGAAGTGCTCGGAGAGATGGAAGGTGAGAGAAGGCCCGGGCCCGCCCACCGGCCAGGCCGCATCTCGGGGCGGGCGGGGCTTCCCTGCTAGCTCAGTGGAGAACGGTGCGGGGTCTCGTGTCTGGGAATCGTGACTCCCCTCCCCCATCGCCTCGTCAGCCTGTTTCATGGGTTTATGGGAAAGAAAAGGATCCTCGGGTGCAGCTGCTGTTAGCTGTTAATGAGTCACCAGGCCTTTTAGCTGATCTAACGCCTCTTTTTGCAATGTGTCTGCAGACAATGTCTGCAAAAGAAAAATCAAAGTTTGAAGATCTGGCGAAAGGAGATAAAGCTCGTTATGACAGAGAGATGAAAAATTATATTCCTCCTAAAGGCGAGAAGAAGGGAAAGAAAAAGGATCCCAATGCTCCTAAAAGGCCACCGTAAGTGTCTTCATCCTGGAATGAAAAGTATATTTTCAGTTTTGGTCAGTGTGACACCTTTTTATTTTTCTTTTTCTTTCTCCTTGATCAGATCTGCATTCTTTCTCTTTTGTTCTGAACATCGTCCAAAGATCAAAAGTGACCATCCTGGCTTGTCTATTGGGGATACTGCAAAAAAACTAGGTGAAATGTGGTCTGAGCAGTCAGCCAAAGATAAACAACCATTTGAACAGAAGGCAGCAAAACTAAAGGAGAAATATGAAAAGGTACAATGAAAACATCCAAGAATGTATATGCGGTCCAAAGTTTGAATAGTTATAAATGAAATAATGGTGGCATGCTCTGTGCTTTACACAAGGGAAAAAAACATCGCTGCCTCACACTCCTGAATAGACTACACAATGTGACAGAAAACTGAAGAACATTCAATTTCTATAGAGATGGGTTAGACAAGGCCTTACTGTGTAGGGAAACACACAAATGTAAAAATATTCAGACCAGATATTGCAGTGATTCTCAGTCTGCTCCATGCCAAAATTGCATCTTAAAATAGGACAGAAAAAGCAGGAAGGCTATAAGCCCCTGAAATCTGATCCGGGGATTCCTTAGGGGTGGGTCATAAGTGCCAGGTTGTGACCCTTTCTCTTAAAGCATCTAATTTGTATGTTGTACAGCTCAGTATAATGCAAACAATTGTTAAATTAATGTTAGTCTTGGGATTTACAGGGATGTAATTCATTACTTGAAACTTAATGGCATCACTCTTTCAGGATGTTGCAGCATACCGTGCCAAGGGCAAAAGTGATGCAGGAAAGAAAGGTCCTGGTAGGCCCACAGGATCTAAGAAGAAGGCAGAACCTGAGGAGGATGAAGATGAGGAGGATGAAGAGGAGGAGGAAGATGAAGAGGAGGAGGATGAAGATGAAGAGTAAATGGATATCCTGCTGTAAAGATTTGTGCTCGAAGTCCAATATTTTGCTAAGAATGTGAACTCAAGTGCAGCTCATTGTTAGCTTCAGTATAAAAAAAAAACTGTACAGAATTGTGTATAGGTAATGTGATTCTTTGTAGGGAGACCTATATTTTTTAATGTAAGTAGTAGCTGAGGGCCGCTACAGTTAGGTTCTTAAAAACAAAAAACGGATGTTGTGGAATGTTTCTGCATATTTAATGGTTTCTTTAAAATTCAGTGACTGATAGTCTGATGTTTTTAGCAGAGTAAAACATAGGAAGTAGCAAAATAGCTGATCTTATATTTTGTAGAATATTGCATTGTATTACTTTTTTAACAATTTTGTAATAAAATGATGTACATTACTGTGTTCTGCTGTTACTGCCTTGGAGCATCTTCTAAAATACTCTTTATGATCATAAAGCAATAAATGGATACACTTAGGTATTTATAATTTAACACTTTAAACTTTCTTTACTTGTAAGCTCTTTTTGGGGTAGGACTGCCTAATCTAAATACATTACAATAATGGGGCCCTGATTCTAAATAGTGCTTGTGGATACTTCTGAAATGCTAGTTAGTGTCATGACTGGAATTTAGATTTCTCTCATGTGAGTTGATTACATCTTACGTCATTACTTGCTTCCCTGTTCTGTTTCTATTTATAAGTTAACTTCGCCAAAGTAAAATCCCTGAATGGAGGTTGGTAAATATTTTGTTTCCAAAGGCTGTCTTTTTTTAAAGACGAGATAAAAACCTTTTTGTGGTGAAGACATAGCTTTAAAGTTAACATGCCTCCTTGTTAATGAGGATTAATGATTTTTTTTTAATCACTTTGAAATAGTCCCTCCTTAACCAATACCATTAAATTACATTAACAGTGAATTCTGCTAGCATAGGAGAGGTGGTGTGTTGGTGATGCAGACTCCAGCTATACTGCCACCTTTTAAAGGAATGTGGGGTCCTAAAGCTTTGTCTAAAGATGATCTGTAGCTGCCAATAGGTACAATGATAACAGCTTTGCCTTACATTTTTTTTTCTGTACACAAATCTTAAACCCTCTTCTATCACTATGCTTTCACTTATATAGTTTGACTATACTAGTGCTTAACTGGTGATCTGATCCTTTCCCCTTAACAAAAGGGGACTTTACAAAGTAATTTTGATGGTACTGGGAGCTATTAATACACTGACTCAAACAAATGGGACTCTGCTCTAAATCAGGTCCGTGATCCTCCTGTCTGTCTGCATAGGCTCAGAAACCCTATTAAAGCACATACCTTATTACCTGTTTTCAGGGTTCTAGTTCTCAAGTTCAGTATTGAAGAGGGCTTGTGGGTGACCCTGTGCACTAGGTCAGCAGTTCTCAAACTTTGTTGCCTTGTGGCCCTCTTCTGACAACAAAAGTTACTACACAACCCCAGGAGGGGGACTGAAGACTGAGCCACAGGCAGGGGGCATGTAACCTTAGCCCTGGGTGGTAGGGCTTGGGCTCCAGACTTGCTGGGGCCCAGAGCAAACACCACCCTTGGTGACCCCATTAAAATGGGATCATGACCCACTTTGGGGTTCCAAGCCACAGTTTGAGAACCTCACTGAAATTTGGTGCAGACACCCCTTTATTAGACAGTGGGGCAGATAGGCTAAATGTCAGTAAGTGGCAGTGTGACCAGGCACTTGTGGTTCCAATGCCACTGAAAGGTAGCCTGGCTGGGCCAAATCTCAGTAAGTGGTATTGCAACCTGTTGCATGGGATTACCCACTAGTGTTCAATGCTGAAATTGAGGAATATGGCCCTGAAAACTTTATTTAAAACACTGATTCCAATAAATGGGATTCTGTATTGGTCCCAGTTCCATCAAGGTTACATTGGAAAATCTCATTTTGTTAAGGAGGGGGGGTAGGTAGTAGCCACTTTTTTTTTTTTTTTTAAATGAAGGAGGATGTGAGTCAAGGTTGAGAGCCCATGGTCTAAAGCAGGGGTGGGAAAACTATGGCCCGTGGACCGCTTCTGGCCCATCAGATGCTTTTATCTTGCCCTCGAGTTCCTGCTGGGGAGTGGAATCAGGTGCTTGCCCTGCTCCAGCTGTCCAGTGCTCCCCAGTCCCCCTGACTCTCAATTCTCTTGATGAGCACCATCTTTTGGCATGCAGAGCCACATTGCACAGGTGTGACTTCACTGTGCTGTTTCTGGGATTGGACCTCCACCCCTATGCAGCAGAGCACCCAATCCCTGCCCAGTCTCCTACGGACCTACCCTTGAGAGCCTCGAAACCACCCAGGGGCCGCACCAGTCCCAGCTAGGGTGCCTCTGCCCGTGACAGTGCCTGGTATGGCCCCCTTTGAGTCACTGCTGGCAGGGCCCCTAGGAGTTCCCGGTACTGCCCCTGTAGAGCCCCACCCCTGTGCCACATCCCATGCATCCCCATAGAGTCCCCCCTCCCCCATGGGGCATTCATGCCCACCCTACAATTTTTGTACCCAGATGTGGCCCCACAGGCCAAAAAGTTTACCCACCCCTTGGTCTAAAATCTTTAATTCCCCAGGCAACAACCCACTTAAGCCCTAATCAACATGCTATGAAGTGACTAGGCACCTATATTTGCTGTACAGTTACTATGGTCACTTTTGCACTATGGACACTTTTACAGTGCATTCCCATTTAGAAGAATCATTGCTGTAAGAATCAAGGGCATATAGTGATCAAAACAGAAAAATCATTCTTATAGTCTAAATATACTCTGCTTACAAGAATCAAATCATCTAGGAGGATGTTAGTCTTATAAAAGACATTTACTGTAGCTACAGTCTGAAATTAGTAGACTTTTTTTGGGGGGGGGGGAGAGGGTAAAGTACGACCCGTTTACCCCCTTAAACTTTACGGGGGT